ATTATACTGTTCTAGTCGTTCGGTTGAAAATTAATTATTGTTATATGGTATGTAGTACCTATGGTATATGTCGTATGTACCCCGCTATACCTATATACGTACTTCCATACAAAGGTGTTCTGTTTAACGAAATATTTTTGAGGACCAAACCGAATTAGAATCAAATTCTATTTTATTCAAAAAAATTCTCTAATACAAAACTAATTCTTTTTTTGACAGCGGGACTCCGTAATAATATGGAAGTTTCTCTGTAATATTATACGGCGTATGCAATTGAATCGACCATAATTATATAGTAGATAAAAGGTATACTTATTTATTTTATATCATGTACGTACTGTATATACATATGCAATCTGATTGACAAACGACAATATATAATATTATATATATAGCACACGTATATGAATTATACGACTACTTGCGGAGATTTTACTATTCTAGACAAGTAGGTACTGATCGTTAAATCGTTTTATGCTTGGCTTAAATATATATGTTTAATATAGGATGATAATATTATGCAAGTTGAAGAGCTGATATACGGGATAAAGAAAACATGTATGATTAATCGAATCAATACACTTAATGAAAATCTACTCACGTAAGGTACCTATACAGTATACGTATAATCCAAATAATTGTTTGACTTTAAACTTTTCGCAGGAAATTAAATTTAGTGAGTTAGCTTGCGGCATCCCGCGACCCGTGCTGTGTAAAGATTGGTTAGACATATTATGAAGTAGATATTATAATACAATTATATACATAATACATATAACAATATACTTCAATAGGTTTAACACAGGCGCGAATCCAAAGGGGGCCAAGGGGCCATGCCCCCCCCCGTAGACTCGCGCTTAAATGGACTTGCATTACTTGCATTTTTATCAGACTTATAGGCTGAAATTTTATTTAAGATGCCCCCCCNAACCTTTTCGTATAAGAAAAAGCCATTTTTTCGAAAAATTACAAAACCATGATGTCCAGGGAGCCGCACAGGTTTGAACTACCTTTTTTTAGTTTTAATTGTTAGTGTGGACAATATATTATAGAATATTAGAATAAAGATAGTATTATTATTTCATTGAAAGTTTGATATTTTCAATTCATACTTTCCTGTGTTCTTCACTCATTGATTTCATTACTATAAAATAAATAATAAATATATAAGTGGTAAATATTTTCTCATTTTTTATCCATCACCTACCTATACTGATTATTTAAAAAAAAATGTTTTATCAATCTTTTACAATAATAACGTTCATAACAGTTATGTGTTCAGCTAGTAATGAAAAAATCCATTAGCAAATTTTAAATTTACCTGTCAACCATCCACTCACCACCAATTTCGGTAAGGATCAACCAATACGTATGTAGACACAAGTACTGTTAACTAATTTGAAGATGTTTTTCCTTACAGAGAATTTGTTGTTCAGATTTCGGTGGAAAATCGACTTCCAGTGTAAAAGTCTGGAGAAATGTTATTTAATATGAATATCATGAAACCGACATAGATTGTGAAAAATGATAATATTATTTGTAACCGCGTTGAGCATTATATAAATACAAAAAAAAATAGTAGATAATATTATTAAACACAGATTACAGGGTGATTCTTCAAGCATGCTCACTTCCATTTTTTCCTTAAAATAATGAATTTTAGATGGATTTGATAGAAATTTGTATTTTAATATGCTGCAGCACACTTCTTAAGTGTAGATAATACAAAAATATTCAACAATTTGAAAAAATGGTCTTTGAGTATATTTAAAAATTCTAAAAATCAGAATTTGAATAAATTCATTATTAAAAGAAAAAATGGGGGTAGACATGCTTGGTGAATCACCCTGTATATTATAACCGTGATAGTAGAAGGATATCTTATTGAGAATTTCATTTTTGGTGATTGCCAATAAACTTTGTTTACGGTCTGTGCATTTTATATATTATGTACCTATAGGTACCTGTTTTATATTTATTATGTATACGCTTAATGCGTATGCGACCATCTAATGGAATTCCTAAGACTGTCAACCTAATGGAAGGAAATTTCAATCGGGATAGGTTGCAGTAGCATAGACAGAGAAGAAAAATAAAATATATAAGTATAAAGAAGTACCTATGTATATAAAAAAATCGATAAGAAACGCATTAGACGATTGCAATTTCTTTATTCGCAATCCAATTTCCTGTAAACTCGTCTTTTTTCGCCTGCGCGTGCTCATATTTTTTTCATCACAATATTATATTTCTAACACCATTTTTAAACGATACTCTTCTATTACAAGCTGAACAAACCCTTTTCCTTCTAATTAGCTTTCCACGTGTCGAATTTTTTTTCGAACATATAATCCGCACTACTCGTTGTTAAACACGGAGAATATTTATGAGTTGTTTGAATTTTTTTTCATTGCTTGTTCCGTCCATAATGATTATTCTCGCAATTTATTATGAAATGAATTTTTTATTTATTTCCATCATTTTATCAGATTCGCACGTGCACTACGGACGAATAAAAAAATTATAAAAAAAAATTGTTACGTTCAATCGACCGGCGTATCAGTTCGGGAATTATATTTCGCTGATATAATATTCTATTAACTATATGACTCCGGCGAGTAATAAACAAATTAACACTGCAATTGTATTGGCACGATTTTATTTTCAACTGCTTAGTATTATTTAAGTAACGGTACGATTTTATTTTCAACTGCTTAGTATACCTATTATTTAAGTTATGATTTACCATCAATTTAAAAACTCTATGGTATCTAAGGGCTATTTAATCTGTCATCAAAAGTTAAGAAAATTTAATTTCCGTTTAATTTTATAATTTTAATTTGATTTTTTAATCTCTCACTTACATTCTGACTTCATCCTATAAAAGTGATACGGAGTCACATTTTGAATGAATCAACATCATATTTTGAATTCTGGTCAGTTACATAAGACTTTTCACCAAAGTTAAATATTATAAATAAATTTAATATATTTTGTATACATTTGCAGTAGATGCACTCGATACAAATATTTATTTAGTTGATTTAACTATTGAGTCAACATTTTAATTATATTTAAATCATGATGAATAATCTAAAAATTAGTTGTTATACACGATAAAAGCAATGACGAAATTGATTTTTCAAACACTATACAGTAGTCGCCGCTTATTGGACTCACTTTGGGACCCGACAATTTGAGTCAATTAACCGAATGAGTCAATAAGGCGAATGACTCAAAAACCTAACCTAACCTAACCGTGCGAATCAGGACCAACCGTTTTGAGTCTAATATGCGAATGAGTCAATTAACCGTGAGTCCAATAAGCGGCGACCACTGTATATATATATATATAATATACATTGTATATATTGTATATAATATAAAAAATTACTTCGATCCTCTTTAAATAAATTTAATTGATGAAATCATAAAAAGATTAAAAAACATATTTTGATAAAATGTCCTATTAATAAATTAATTTTTTTTTTTTTAATTGAAAATCATTCTGTAAAATATTATTTTTAAAACGGCACAACTTTTGTGACATTCCCCATATAATATTGATTAAAGAATAAACGTTTAACTCAAATATCTTAAACATATAAAATGTCATGTACAATTAATGATTATTATAGTTCATTATTGCTGTCATGTAAGATGCAAAAAAAAAATACAGGGAACGAACTTCAATCACGTAGGGTACTTATAGGTGTACTATATATTAATGGAACGCCTGCAATATTACAATACCGTTATAATTTACAGTATAGGTAAGAATACATTGTTGGTTTTGATGTTATAGGTGAAATCAACCTTTATAGATTTTACATCCAACTCATATTATTATACTAAATCTGACTTAACGATCAAATGAACAACGAAGTCGTATAAAAAAAAAAAAACAGTACCTATACACGAATCAATGGGCATTGCTTCAGAAAATATTAATTTCAAATGCACGGTTAGTCAAGAATTTAAGTCTGGTTGTCAACGCAATTTAATAATACATAATACCAATTGAAAGACATCTTCAAACGTTATTTTGTAATGTAATTATTTTTGTATAGTGATTGTGCAATATTTTATACTTATTAAATTACTGTTTTCAAGGTAATATTGTTTCGACACAAGTATCGTTGTTTCATATTTGATTATTAAAATGAATAGTTTAACGATTAGGACATTCCTTCCTTGAAGTTTTTTCGTCGAATTCTGTACAAATTTAACTGCTTCGACAAATTTAGAATTAATGTCCATCAAAAAAAAATGTTCATACTTTATACTTTTTGTATTATTACTTGGTTACTGAATTTCACAGTTCTATTTACTAAAACAGTAATTCTATATTGACATTTTGGTACCTATACTATACTACTACGCGTTCCTGCAATGTTCTATTTACCATGTCACTCAGCACTCTTATATTTTTCAAAAGTTTAATTGTATTAAAATTGTGTACGAATATGATAGTAATACAACAGTCAACAACAGATCGATGAAAAGGTGGATGCTTTTCAAAACTATTTTTTAAGTACAAATAGTTTGTATTTGACAAAAAAATGTATAATGATTTAGAGCTAAAAGATATTTTACTAAATTACTGCTGAATACATAAAAAACAAATTACGCTGATGAAATTAAAATTGTTTGTAACATATTTTTTGAATATTACCTTTTTAAAAATGTTGTTCCATTTAAATTCAATTACTATAAAAAGGTGAAATTATTTAATTATCTCGTATGGACGGATTTTAACACATTAATAAAATAGTTTTTGGTTTTTTTACATAGTCGGCCTATATTGATAAAATACAGTGGTTCGTTTTTAATTTATAATACTACAAATATAAGACTTTAAAAACGTGTATGTTTTAGGTAGATAAGTAGATTACCTATATTGGTATATACCATTTGTCCACATTATACCTTAAATAATATAAGTCCCTACTATTTAGGTTATATTAAATTATAAAACAATATTCCTTGTTTGTTTTTATTTCAATACCTAAATGGCATTTAGTTATTATTATCACCATTAACCATGTTTACAATAATTAGAAGCTGATCTTCGACCATACAGAACCTCTTTCTTTTTGTGTAGCTGGCGTCATGTGTTCGAAAAATATTTGTTTGATTGCCATATGATATATACGTTCAGACATCAAGTGCACTAAAAATCATAATAACATTATGTTTAAAAAAAATATGTGTATAAAAAATAAATTATCATAAAAATAAAGCAATTTCGTAAAAAAAGATTATTATAACATATATTTTTATTTAAAAATACTCCTCAACTACCAGGGTTATTGGCGTTTCTGAAGAAATACATTACTTACATTTTACAATTTCAAAAATACATTACTACTAAAATCGTACACAAAATATCTTGAAATTATTTAATAATATATTATATTTTAACTGTATATTAACTTTTCTTATCACTTTTTCTGGTACCTATTACCTATATAAAAATCAATCGAAAAACATTTTTTAAATGTATTTTAAAAGTCTATATAAAATAAAAAGTCTTAAAATGTAAATAACTATAATTATTCCACTTATGAACTCATTAATATTATATTAGGTACAGATTAATTAATAAAAATTCATAATAATTTAAAAGCGCAGATGAAACACAGAACCGGATACTCTCGAATTAATGGAGCGTAAACTATATTAACGATGGACAAAAATATAATACTTCGGACGTAAATTATATCAGCAAGTAAAATCAAGTAAGTAATGATTAGGTAAAATAATGTTTTTATATGAAGGTAAGCCAAAAATATATAATATAATATATATTTGATTTTTGTTGTGATGTATATACATGGTACGTGAATAGTAAACTTTTCAAAAGAAAACATTTTATTTTATTTCCAATAAATATAAATTAAATAAACTCATATAATCTATTATTTGTGGTTTTATAAGTTAGGACCGTTCAAATAATGGATTATCACACTTAAAAAACATTAAAATGTTTAAAAGAATAAAACCAAACGTACACGATATACAGTATAAAGCTGCCATATTATAACTATAGGTACATTATAGCCAATATTTATTTAATACGAGTTTGCTAAATTGTACTTAAATACGAGTAATCATTATTCGTTATACCTATAAAAATGTATAAAAATTACCGTAAAAAAAAACAAATTTATTTTCTCGATAACAATTTATCAGTATAAGTACAGAGTTACACGAGCTTGTAGGTCGGGGTATTGTAGTTTTTCGAATTAACAGCTTATCCATGTGGCCAATGAATGTTTTATGGATTGTGGTGCATAATGAATGAAGGGAGGTAGGAAGTTTATTTTTCACTAAGTGCTTACACCACTGATCACGCAGCGCCACTGCGATTATATTATAATATAATATTTACGATGCACCTTTATTAAATCACCACTATCGACGGTATAATATTGTTAAATGTTAATGTACAAACGATTATTGATTATCGGGGTTTAACGTCGAGGTATAATTACACGTATATATTATTATATCGTAGGTACACGATAACGATATTTCTGCTGCAGGCCAAATCACGAATTCATAAATATTATTACGGCTATATAAATTATATTGCAACGTGGTCACTAGCGCGGGCGCACATAATAATAATAATATATATAGGTAATATTATATTTGTCATTGTTTGGTCGCGCCAAGAGTGTATATCATAATATTATTATTACACGTAGAGCATTGTTAATGCGCTAATACTGCTGTCTGCTACTACTACTACTACTTCTAATAATAATAATAATAATAATAATAATAACAACGTAAGAGATATAATAATTACGATGACGAGAGTGCGTGTGATATTATGTAGGGTAATATACAGAGTGATGAACCAAGCTCGCTTGTACTCTGTCGCAGACCAATTATTAGTAAGGGGACAACGGAGTGTATCCTGATCCTGAAGTGGTATACAAACTTTTTCACTGACGAGTTAATAGTTTCCGAGTTATTGTACACTTCAGGATTGAGGATGAGGTTAAGCCTAAAATCTATATTCTCCACAAACATAATTAATTAAAAAATGATAAGTTTGCGTCGGTTACAAAAAAAAAAAAAAAACAAATAAATAAATAAATAAATAAATAAAAGATAATCAGTAATAATGTAATATTCACTCAGCGTTTAGCTACTTATTACCCTTAAATTTTATAATTTGTAAAATTCACACACAAATATAGGTTCAATACATAATGCATAAATCCAAATACTTAGCGATCTAGTCCTTTGTGTATACAGTGAACACTTTGGGACCGAACTCATTTGCCCGCAATAAGCGATTAAAAACTGAAATTAAGTTAGTTAGGGTATGCCTACATTGAACTCGGGATCAGACCGTTTTACCGATATCGCTCGGGTGCCTTTAATTTAACCAACAGATGCCCACATCAGACGGAATCCACTGTACATACCGCAGATACGGTGCGTCGGTGCAGTGCGAATTACGGTGCATACATGTTGGTGAAAAATCATAGACTTCAAATTGTTTATGTCGATGCGGAGGATCGTGTAATTTGAAAGAAAAAAAAACTAGTTTAAATCGACACAGCCTACAAGGACACTCCTCCTCAAACTATCGTCGGGAAAAAAATCGAATAAAATATTTGAAATCACACCGGTCTTAAAAATTAGTACAATATATTATATTATGTGGCGTATAATGCGGTGTGCACAGACTCTGCAGCGGAATCCGAATAAAGGATAACGTTTCCGGGGAACGTGCAAGTGCTTATAGTAAATCGCTCTGCGTTGATTGCACACCGATGTGTGGTGCGCGTATTACCTAAAGTACCTACCTATATTATCATAGATGTATGTGCATTGTGAAAAATAAAAATAACAGCGATAGGTACTCCTATAAGTGCTCCGCGCAGATAATGACGAACCGAATATTATGTCTTTCGACGGTAGGAATGCAATTGGCCCCGAGCAATATTGAGGGATTTATAACGACGAGACAATACGAATTACATACAGCATATAATGCGTATATATATATATATATAACAGTGTGTGTATATATATATATATATATACACACACTGTTATACCGTATTATAAATGTACAATATCCATGTACACATGGACGGTTTACGAGGCGAATATTGAAAACCGTGCATACGTATATAGCGTATTTTGTACATACCTACACATACTTAACAATTTTATATACATGGGTAGGTACGAGACGATCACGTGAGCTCGCGATTTATCCGACTAACGGCAAACGCCGGCAAACATGCATTGTAATTGTACTTATGTACCTATATATATATATATATATATTATTATTATATTATTATAATATAGGTATAGGTGCGCATTTGTTATCGAACAGTTTTAATTTTTTTCGTCCAAAACGCAGGTATTTTTATTTTTAACGTCTATATAACGGTACAATATTTTACAACACACGCTCTATACACGACTACAGTGCACAGTATAACTATAGCTGGTATACCTACCTACCTACCTACCTACCTACCTACCACCTACTAATTATAATTTTTTTTCCACCGATGGAATGGATAATATTATGTTAATCATTTCGTATATACAGCACACACAGCTGTAACTGGAAACGCTCCGATGTCTCAGCGCAGAGAGTTGTTCAATTTCAACCATGATTTTTTTGTTCGCCGAGATCAAACACATAAGAAATACATATTATATATATATTTTAATATATTACGCTATAGCACCGAATGTCTCGAATTTTCATTTTTAAGTCCTCTCCCATTTCTACTATTAACAGAAAATATTTCTTTCTTTTTTTTCTTTTAGTTTTTTCACCTGACCTTGAATGGTGAAACCCCTACTTGGCGTTGAAAACGGACGTGCGTGAAACTTGAGTACCTACCTATTTACCAAAAAAACCAACCAACATACGTATAGGTGTCCATTGAATATAATATGCATAACTTAATTTTATTTTTATTTTGTTGATGATGAATGAAGAAATCACGGTTAAATAATTTGAACCACTGTGCGTTAAGCTATTGCGAGCGTTTCACGATTTCAAGGACACGATCTTTGATCTTGAATTTCTGAAAACTTTTTCACGTTCACCGCCCTGCACTTGTATTATTATGTTGAGGGAATTGTAAGTTACAAAAGTGTCGATGTTTTGTGTGAGTAAAGATAAACATAATATTATATTATAATCGATAGATGATTCGTAAGAACATTAAGCGTATCGTGAATATTGAGAATTTACAAACTTTTATTACATTTTAAAGAACCGTTTCGTCGTGTTCATTTTAGTTAATTATTAATATTATAAATTTTACGTATCCCACGACTATGTGTCAAAAAATATTTCGAGTGTAAATATTAATATATTATATACAATAATGAATATTGTATATTATATATTATACAGCTGCACAGGACTTAACACCCGCACCATGATAAATAGAACTAATTTTAATTTATTTTATTTTATCACACCGACACCATTCGACGGTAGTTAGGTTCTGTCATTTTCATATTAAAACGCATCGGTTATATTATATATTAATCTTAACCGATTACAGTTATTTTTATTTCATTTATTATGCTCGTTATTTTGTTTTTTGAGTACCTAAATATAAGACCAGTCCGCAGACGACACTATCGTTAAAGCGCACGTGTATAATGTAAAAGTATTAAATGATTTTTTAATAATGTAAATAAAATAAAATATAATAAAAATTTATATTATACAACCTTATTCGCAAACAAATGTACGACAAGTGTCAAATATGAAATAATGTAAATAGAAATAACATATTCAAGCAGCGAGTCCCGGATGATCAATATTTGGGTTTTATTATAATAATATTAAAACGTTTCGATACGATTTAAATATCTCAAACTCGACGATAGAGCTCAATATGATATACTTGTCAAACCAATTTAACACTTTCTCACACCCATGAAAAAAAATGCACAGATATTTTAAGCGTATAAGACAGCATTGCTGTTGTATCTAAAAGAAATGTATTCCTGCAAATGACACGCAAAGAAAAATATGCTTGCGTTCACTTGGGAAAAAAATTCAGACACGATTTTCAGGTATTACAGCTCCAGTATTCACCTACGCCGTTCGTGGCTATTAAATTTTTTTTCCTGGTCCAGAGACAACATAGTGTATGAATT